CTTCTCTTAGATGGATTGCCTTACAGGGCTGACGAGCTCCATCTGCCCGGGGGGCTGGGAATCGAACCCGGGTCGCAGCGGTGAGAGTCCTGCACCCTAACCACTAGACCACCAGGGGTCCCTAAATAAAATTAAAGTTATAATTAAATGCTGTAAATTATGTCTATTTTATTATGACAAAGAGTTATTGGTTTTAAACAAGCTAGGAAGAATAAACACAGGTTTCAGTGAGCTTAGCATGTTATACATGCATCTTGGCTTTTAAGGAGACACATTGAATGGCTAGATATATGAAACTTTTAGCGCCTGCTATTTTAAACTGGTTTAATTTAACAACTCTATCACTTTTCTCCTGAAATCAAGTATTAGTTCCTGCAGAATCTTTATTTCTGCTACGTGTGTATGTGTACACTGCCATAGAGTAAGTCTGCAGCATTGTTCCTTTTTTTGGTATAATACTGTATTCCTTCTACTTTATATGTACATACAGAAGCATTTACCTCTGTGTGTACAGGTTTACACCTCAGAAATGGCCTGTCCTTCATTTCTGTATTACATGACCTTAATGTCATCCCTCCGGTCCATCACGTTGATGGCCATGGGCCATCCTCACTCCTCACTTTTCAGAAACTTTTAGTACTTATTTTAGTAGTTCTGTGAATTTCTCCTCTCTGCCTGCATGTTCACCAAACCATTGATTTTAAGGACCACAGGTAAAGACCTTAGACTGTACCTTGTTCCCTTGTCAAAACTGTCACCACAGAAAGTCAGTGAGAGGTGAGATGCAGAGATGGATATATTGAGAGAGTTTAAGACAAACACATCTTTCCTTCAGCAATGCCTAAGGACTTCTTGACATTTTGAGATGCCATAAATATTGATGGAAAATAGCCAGTGATGCTCACAGCTACAGAAGAGGAATGGTTTCCCAATCCTACTCATATTTACAGGTAGCAAATCTGTCACACTACAAACCAAAATACCAGGAGATACCTGTTCAGCTCTTACCCCTGGCAGTTTGGAAACTTGAAGGAATAGGCATGAGTATTAAAAAATGCGAACAATAAAGCATTTAGAGGGATAGTATAGTAGTACATACTCAGGAAAGGATCTGATATTAAACACGCATTTCAGGCCAATGCCATTGCAGAATTTTAATCACAAAAAAATATGTCATCGTTTTACACTATTGTCAGTATAGCAATATGAAATTTAAATTACATTATTCATTTTCGTATGTCCGAAGAAGTGTTTTTCTCTTTCTTTTCTGATAAATAGCATGGAACATGCATGACAGTAAGTTGCTGCTAATGCCCATTTGACAGAAGGAATTTTTCAGGAAGAAGCATGAAGTGACATGGAAGTGGGACAGATGAAGAGGTCCCAGGAATGCTCTCTTCCTACTGCACTGGAGAAGCCCATTGTGCCCATGGCCAGGCTCTGTATTAATATTTTCCTGAGCATTATTATAGAGCTTGCATGATATTACATACACTGCAATGTACAAGTGTAGACTCAGGATACCATTTCATCCTCCTCCAATCACAATGACGTGATTCTGATTCTGCCACCCAAGGTGTCTTTGCACCAGGTTTGAAGAAGACTGCTTGTGTATGGTATTTGGCTGCAAAGAAAACATGAATTTGAGGTCTCTTTCTGAAAGGGCATACACTGTATTAATTATCAGGAGACTCATGCTTACATAGCAATACAGCTATGTTTTTAATGTAGAGTTATCAAAATCCAAATTGAAATGATTACAGAATTTTCAGTCTGCAAATGAGAAGAAAAAAAGATATATGGTCTTGTTTATGCACAAAAATAATTTTAAATCAATTAAACTGTTGAAAACCCCTACGTGAACACATTTAACTTGGTTTACATCTGGCTTGTATTAATTTAACTTAATTCAGTTTTCACCAAATCAATGCAAATGTGTAACTAGCTTAATGGCTCTTGCTTTTCCAGAACAATAGTCTTTCATTCTCAACAATGGGGGGCTCTTTTAATTTCCTTCAAATACCAAAGGAGGCATCAAACTGCTTTTATATCACCACTTTTATACAATCACTTTTGCTGTTTTTCTATTCTTTCTTTTGACTATGTAAAGCATGATTTTCTGCATTAAGTAGCTAAAAGTGACAGAACATGAGGGCAGGTTCAAGGTAGAACAGGAAAAGAAGACTTTCTGGTTTTTTATGTGCTGATATAAAAGAGCACTCAAGACAAATACAGAGCAGGTCACTCACATAAGTTTCTGGGTGTTTTTCAGGTGTTAATTTCTTCATCTAATCTCCAATATTTGTCGCTTGTCAAACAATCATGTTGCACTTTCCCAAGCATTCATTCCCTTCTTTGTTGGACGTAGCTAATTTTTTTCTGCCAATTAAAGTGAGCATTTCTTGTTTCAGAATAAAGTCATGACTTGTGGTTTTGTCTAGGCTGATAACAACCACAACTGTTTTGAGATCCTTCAAGACCATGTAGGATGGTCATTTTATTGTCTTATTTTCATTCTCCTGAACTGTTGGATTTAAGATCATGTTTATTTGCAGACAAAGCCTGAAAAGTGTTGTAGGCTTGATAGAAATTTCCAAGAGCCATAAGAGCCTGCTGAAGACAACAGCTGTTTTCTGGCAGTACCACTAGGTGCTCTGCACTTCACAGGATTCAGACTTGGACTTTACTGGAGATTGTTAAAAAGCAAAATAATCTTTCCTGTAAGGGTAACAAATTACTTGCAAAAAATCTCTGCTCTGAATTTCCTTGCAAGTTTGTTTTCTGTAACACACTGTTCCTTAGAGAACAACAGAAACAATGCAGGAAATAGGTTTTAGGACATTTTTTATATAATGGATTTGATATCTCTAGAAGAGGGGCTGAAGACATAGAGTTCATCCCCTAGGCCTTGGGAACATCTCAAAGTCACAAAACCAACAAAGAAGTTTTCAGCTTTACCAAATGCAGTCATTATGTGAAACCCTTTTCCATAAATCATCTTAAAGTTATTTTCAAGGCCGATTCAATATAAACCTATTTTTCCAACCAGGCATATCTGTGGTATGAAACACCGAAGAAAACTATGAAAGCTGCCTTTGTTAATTCTCTTGGAAATATAAATAACTGAGATAGTAGTCAGTTGCCTTTGACATGGGAAAACTGCTGGAGAAATTAAGATGCCAAAGAATAGCCTGAAATACTCAGTAAATTACATATTGCTAGTGCTGATGGAAACCACTCATCCATTGTTTGAAATAATTGACAAAAAAGTTAGCGTTTTGTGGTCAATATTGACCTTACCCATCTTGGCTATAAATTCACGCAAATTAACGTTTTCCTGAAGTGCTTATGTTGTTGAAACCAGGAAAGTTTGAAAACAAAATATTGTTTCCACCATGAAAAATACGACTATCTTTCAATTGGAAGTAGATACTGAGTCTCGAAAATGTTGAGAAATGTGTGATAGCAGTTCTTTTAAGTGACCTGATTATCTAACCTTCTTTAAAAATTGCTTTCTCTCATATTGTTCCCTTATTTAATAACCTCTGTCTTGGAGACCTATTGGATAACGTGCCACAGCATACTTAAAAAGTAGAGAGGAATAAACAAAGCGAAACTTAGACAATTGGTGATGAGTAAGATTGATTCAGAATTCCTCTACATTGATATGCAATAAATTGCATATGCTAAGTATGCTCATATATAACGTAAAACACATATAGTTGCAAATGTATTGGTTTTTAAAACACATTTTTATGCATGCACATAAACAAGTAATTGCAGATATGAATATATTCCAGTCTTACTCAACATGGAAAGTTAGAGGTTCTGTTTTATTAACTGGCCTCTTGAGACCACAGTCGGTTGTCGTTGATTCTTGTTGGAAGCAGCACATCTCAGGTGGTATAGGTGTTTGGTACTACAGTATCATGCTACCACATGCCAGGCAATTTCTAAATCTCGTTTCTTGTGTCAGAGCTGCACAGCTATTGTCTCACCCACAAAAGTAATCTATAAAATATACAGTAAATATATTATTAACTTACATATTAAATTTGTATGTAAAATATAGTGCATGCCAATGTGCTTCCTGATAGGTCTCTCAAGATTTTTGTGTGTATATCATTGAAGTGACACAAATGAAACATGTGCTAATTGTATTTTGGTTTAACTTTCTATTATACAGAGTAAATGCAGTTATGCCAAATAACTTCTCTATTATCAAGGACAGGGAGAACAAAGACATCAGATGTATTCTCTAAAAACTCCTCTCTTTTGCATTTTATTTCTCAAATTATTCACTAAAGTTACCTGTCTTCAGGATGACCTATACAAATCAACACAGATCTGCTAAGATTTATAAAATAATAAAGCTTTGATCTAGGCAGTAGGCTGCTCTTGCTCTCAGCTTTTGCTTTTGCTTTAGCTTTTGCTAAGATATGTCATTTTGTTTGGTCTAGTTTTGTTTGGGGTTTTTGTCTGCTGCATGATTTAGAGTAAACACATTTGTCATTCTAAGTTGAAGACTGAAAAGGTAACTAGGATATGAATAATATGTAAGTACTTGATGACCTTTCTATAGATTCAGTATAAACTCAGCATTGGTTAATCTCTGTCAGAACTGTATGATTATTTTTGATATGTCACTGACGTCAGCAGAGGATAATGTGACTCAAGTGACAGCACTTTGAAATTTTATCCAAACCAGATAGAAAGCTACAGTAGTTCAAACTTTCTCTTCTTTTATGATCAAATTTAAACCGGTAACACTTATAAACTACTTGTTCATTGAATAAAAAAGTGACATTTTCTCCTTCAAAGAGAAAATGGCAAAAATAGATGGGAAAAACCCCACTCGTTTTTCAGGTATGAAAATCATTTTACTGGATCCTCAAGTCTTTAGAGAAGATTTAGTCATTACAGATGGCCCTCTTAAAGCTGTTAATGAATGAAGTCTTGCCTGCTGTACATTACAAGGCTACAATTTTCATCTTGGGGTTCCTGTGACTAAATAGTTCAACTAAACTCGTTCAGTTTATGACATAAGAGAATTTCTCAGCGAAATTATAACCTTGGGAATACCCAAGCAGCTTTTGATTCTATTTGCAGACTCAAGTCTGCAAATCACTACTTGTATATCACTGCAGAGCAAGTTAACTGTAAGCAATAAAGCACTGCAAAATTTATTTAATACATGAAAATTGTTTTTTTGAGTAGCATTGTTCACATTCATATCAATAGTTTAGAAAACTGTGGTGTCGCCTTTTTTCCATGTGTTTTTCTGGGCAGTTGAGCTCTTTCAATAGGATAAAATTCATGGCCTCAACAACTGAGGTTTTGGCTACCTCTGCACTGAACCAACCCTTCAGTAAGTTTCCATTGTACCACGGCTACTGCAGTGTAAGAAACATGTCATGCCTGGGCAGGTCTTCCCCAACAGTACTTCTTGCATGGATGATGCAAGCTTTATTTCTGGAATTTTGGAAGACTGTCTTGCCTGGCCAGCTCTGGTCAATTTCTCTGCCTTTTTCATTTCTGTCCCTGTATTATCATAGAACTGAAGATTGGAAAAGACCCTTAAGATCATCAAATCCAACCCTAATCTTCTTCTGCCTTCCCAATTGTCCCTGTCCAATGCATGTCACAAATTTTCTTCTTCCGTGCTGATTAACTTGTTGAAAAGGCACAGAAGAGATGTTATTTACTACCCACCCTAGTCCTGTCACTTGCATCTCTGCTGCAAGACCCTGGTCTCAGATCAGACAGACTCCAAAGAGGAATTAGAGAATCATAAAGTCATTTAAATTGGAAAGGACCTTCAATATCATCAAGTCCAAGACCGTGAGGCAAACTCCAATTTCTGTCTCCTGAAATTGCAATTTTGTCTTTTGTGGTTTTGAATCACTTAGGAACCACTCTAGACTTCAATAAACCTAAGAATTATCCAGATTTTCCTAAGTCTGAGAATTTTTTGTAACTATTCATTAAATAATTTTGAAGAAAAATTTTTCAATATAAATGCAGGTGATCTGCAATTCGTTTTTTCTCACTACTTGACATTTATTCATCAGAGTACACTATCAGTCACATTTTTATTTTTAAAAGTAGTCGTAATTGCTTTATGATTTGAGATTTCCTTAAAATATTTGAAAGTAACCATATTTAATGCTTACCAAGGAACAAAAGAGAAAAAAAGAGATTGTGATACTTGCAACCTAGAATCATAAAAGATTGCAAGAGTTTGGTCTCTTATTTTTATTTTCATAATAAATCAGCTTGATGCTTATTTGTGGTCAATGTGGTTATCAACTTTTCCCCTGCCCTGTCACTAGCTGGCACACTGTGAACCATGAGGCAGTGGGATGAATAGGAGGAGACCATGTGAGATCTCCTTCAGTACTGTAGTCTGGGCTCCTACACAGTGGCTACTTAACTGGCAAAATTCTGGAGAAATTTTCCTTAATTACACTGTGATTGAAATCACATCAA